GGGAGAAAGAGAGAGAGAGAGAGAGAGAGAGAGAGAGCCCGAGTATCCTAGGGTTTCCGTGGAGGTGCCACTCCAGGATATTCTCTACAGTACCGACCGAGACGGCAAAAAGGGACGAGAATCGAGAATCCCTTGGGATAAGAGAGAGAGGAGGGTGCGCTCTAGGTTGCTGGCCTCAACAGGGGGATGATCGTGGATGAAAAAGGGGTCATGGGTCCTGGGGCACAAGCCGGCCTGGAATCGTGTAAGGACCCTTCGCCCTTCGCCGCCCAATTTCAACCAATTTTACCGAAAGTTCGGCTTAATTTTATTTTCACGCGTCTGCACGGACCGCCGCCTTCACCACTGGCAAACCTACGTCACGGTAGCCAGAAGGGAAGGTCGGCCAGATCTGCACCCTTGGGAAAAGGTGGAACCGGAGACTCAAAGAAAGCTCGAAAGAAGGAAATAAGGAATGTGGGAAAAGTAGAGAAGGATTCGAGAGGGGGGAGGAAAGACAAGGAGAAAGCATAGAGTCGAAAATACAGTAGACGTAGCCTCTTCTTTTATCTTTGCGCAATCAGCACCGGAAAGTACTGGGGTAGTCTAATCGGCCCTAACTCAACTTCCCCAGAAACTAGCTAGTAAGGTAACCTAGCGAACTGGCACCCAGCTACCACACAGTTACAAACTGGACGTCTTGGACGTGGCGACGTGACTAACTGCAAATAAAAAGGAATAAATACCTACAGAAGAGCTCTTATTTACGGGTACACATGTGCCCTTTCCTTGATACGTTTAAACCTCCCTCCGGTGGGATGGCCTAGGGATTTTTTCAGGCTTTTCTTCTTTTTTAGTAGCCTCGATTTTCGGAGATTTCCACCCCTTAGCCTATAGCAGCACATTGGCCGAGTGTTCGGCTACCCCTAGTCTTGTACAGCGTCCCTAGGGAGTGTTTCAATCGCGGCGTGGAAAAGCCTCTCTGAAAATGTGAAAGAGCCACCAGCTCGCCGATACCTATAGGGATTGCTGATAGCAACCCCCAATTAAATCCTACCTTGACTGTGGGTACCAAGCATCCCTCGAAAAAGTCTCCCCTTTTACTTCTCTCCAGAGAGAGAGAGAGAGAGAGAAAGAGAGAGAGAGAGAGAGAGAGAGGGCACAAAAGGGGGCGAGTCTCGTGATTTGGAAAGAGAGAAGAAAGTAGGAGTATAGTGAATGGAAAGAGTAAGAACTTAAAGCGAAAGAGAGAGAGAGAGAGAGAGAGTACCTTGACTGTGGGTACCAAGCATCCCTCGAAAAAGTCTCCCCTTTTACTTCTCTCCAGAGAGAGAGAGAGAGAGAGAGAAAGAGAGAGAGAGAGAGAGAGAGAGGGCACAAAAGGGGGCGAGTCTCGTGATTTGGAAAGAGAGAAGAAAGTAGGAGTATAGTGAATGGAAAGAGTAAGAACTTAAAGCGATCCATCCCTTGGGAATGAGAAATTTCTCCAAGATTTAACCCCTTGCAATTCTCTAGAATAAGGGCTACTTTCCTCAAGTCCCTTCTACCTACTTAGTATGAGTTTATACACTTTTCAGATGTTACACCGTGACGTAATTCCTCCCTTTATACTAGATCCTTTAACCCTTTTTAAAAAGGATCCCCAAGCATCTTCTTAATCCCTCGACTATTGTTAAGGGCGCGAACCACGATCCGTCGTTTCACAGTCGTTGAGCGTAATAACACGCCAATAAAAAGCCATCTTGTAGCTGCTTCAACCCCTTTACCTTAAATGAACCATTTAATTGCGGTACCTCATTTTTTTCCTCCTGGCTCCATACTAAAATCTTCTAAAGCCGCCAGCCTTCTTACTGGCAGTATCTTCTTCGTTAGTATCATTCCTGATTAGTCCGCCGAGTCTCGTTTCATGGTTGTTTCAGTACGGTGAAAAACTTTTGAGGTAAACAGCCGTCTATGCTAATCAGGCTACTTCTACTGCTGTCTGCAATGTCTGCCCCTGTCGCTACCATTACCACACCGTCTGGCTACCGACTGGCTACCACCACTATTTTTTAGAAGTGTGTAAGTTCGTTAGCCCGTGGCTAACGACCAAGGCAGACGAGTTTTGATTAGTGCGGGTCAGCTGCTAATTGGTTGGCGTTTAAATGCAAAACCGGAAGCCGGTTCCACCCCTTGTGGGCGTGGCACAAACCTCCATTCTAGTCAAATCCGTTTACTACCCTTCGGTAAACACATACCTATACATTGCATAGGTATTCTACTCTGTGCTTTGACTAGACAGACCAAATGCCAGATTCGCTATCGACTATTTCTCCTTGCAGTTTCCAATGAAACTAAAATTCTAGGGAATTGGATTGAACGGACTGTAATATTAATAGAGATTTCATTTTATTTCGTATATAAAATATTATGTAAAAAAAAAACTTTTCTCTGGGTCAATAATAATTTACTGCCGAATACCTTTGTTTAGTTTCAGTTATGCTTGATATTTGTTGGTCAATGAATAGGAATGTTAAGTGACGTCACTACGGCATTGCACAAAAATAATCATCGGCCTCTCTACTCAGATATTCGTGAATGCCTATTCGGTCAGGGGTTTATCTATAAATATATGAGTTTTATCTTTGAAAACTGGGTCTTCAGATAACGGATCAAATTTGGAAAAATTACTAACACAATTATGTAAATTTTATAGTAGTATTGTGTAATCGCTTTCTTGCTATTTGTTGATAGAAACCTAACTACTTCGATTACTTCTTATTGAATTAGATACTTATCATATCTAACTATTGTTTTTCTTTTTGCCCTTACAGTATTCTAGAATTACGGAAAGAAAAGAGTAGGGACGCAGCTAGATCGAGACGTGGGAAAGAGAATTTCGAATTCTACGAACTCGCTAAAATGCTGCCGTTACCAGCAGCCATAACTTCCCAACTGGATAAAGCCTCGATCATAAGGCTGACTATCTCCTACCTCAAGTTACGGGACTTTTCCGGTCATGGTGACCCCCCATGGAGTCGAGACGGTCCACCTCCTAATAAAACAGTAAAAGGTGAGTATTCATAATTAGCACCAATAATTACGCGTTTTCTTCAAATACCATTATAATAAACCATAGTCATTTGAAACAAAATAAAAATCAAGTAACATTTTTATAATATTTTCATAAGTATCCCATTTTTATACCAATTCCGAGGTGCCACCTGCTTATGGTTTGTAATATAAAAATGTCCCTTGGCTGCTATACCAGAATCCGGACAATGACTGTATAGCGATAAAAATTAAAATCTAAATATCAAGAAGACGCGACATTGTGACCACAGTACAGTTTAAAGGAGTTTTAACGAAATTGGAAGAAACGAGATCCACTGGAAGGACTGGTGAGATTCTGTAACACAGAAGCGGGGTTATAAAGAATAGAAAGGTATGCGGAGTCGAAGGGCATAAGGGTGTATAAGGGGTGGATAGGAATGATGACGTAAGGGAGAAAGAGAAGAAGGATTCCCTTGATTGTCCCCGGCACGTACGTCAATCGGACTTCAGGACAAACCGAGTTACCACTCAGATCGACGCTTATTCTTTGCTGGCGGCTGCCTCACGTAACCTGCCCTTTTATATGACATCCTCGAATGCTCAACGAACCACCCGAAGATCCTATCCTGGAAATAAAGGTTACCTGGAGGTAACTACGAGTGTCATAAAAATAACAAGATTAATAAAGTTAAATTACCACCGACGAATTTTGTTTATCGATAAATGACACATGGAGCCATATCGATCTGTATATCATATATTTTGTCTTATTGGATATGCCAGCATTCCAAGAATTCATGTTAATCAATACAAAACGTTCGATTCTATTTGGTTCGATCTGTGATTGGTCGTCGAATAACCTGAAACACGTCACCGAATGGAATCGCAATTGGTTGATGCATTTGGATATGGAGAGGAGAGAGATACAGCTTATGTGTAAGCATGTGTGGAAAGAAGAACGCCAAGAGTCGTAGGGGACGTCGAGTAAAGACAGCTAACGTTAGTGTTCACCTTTGTCCAGTAAGTCGCCACTACGCGCAATACCATGCTAATTTATACGGCTTTCGCAATGGCATTGTTTTCCACATATGTCTCGTACGCGCATTCAAAATCAGACCCTACTTCGCACCGATAACGGAATTAACATGGAAATCGGTACTGAACCTACTTACTATATTCGCTGACCGGTAGCAATAGTGATATATCCGCTAATAATTATCCTAGATACAGTCGATTTATAGTGGGATCATTTGATATAGGAAACTCTTATATGTAATATGTGCGACCCACACTTATATTATGTTTATATAGTTGATTTTGTAAACAACGCGTATTAGTATGGTGATTATAAAAGTCCAATTTGCCTAACTTCAATTACAGATTTATGCCCGTGGCAAAATTTATCCAATCATATTTTGAAGATTCAGTGCTGTCATTAGTATATTGTCACCTTGAAATAGCAATATGAATTATGAATGACTATGAATACCCATCTATAACAAATTATAAGAATAGTTCTATATATTGTACTAGACAATTGTTTCGTCATATTCGTATTCCTGATTAACTGTATAAGCGACAACGGTATTTCGAAATCTTGATAGGATACATAGAAAAATACCGTTATTAAGAATCTGAAATAAAATTGGTCAATCTATAATTTCCATTTAGCTTCCATTCCATGGAAACCACCGCCCATATACGTACGCGTATGGGATTAATTTACATTCATCTAAAGAACAAATTTAGTGGATCGTACATGATAATAGATAGCATCGATCACAGAATAGCTAGGACTTGTTCTCGCTGATTAAAGTGCCGTTCGGTGTCCAATTAAAAAAAAAAGGTATTCGATTTCATCTGGCAATAGGCACCTTCGCTACTGTCTGAGCACAGCCAATCTAACCGCCTTTTCCCACTAGATATTCCCCGGACCAGCTCGTCCATTTAATTTGTTTAAAGGTGCCGCAATTCCTTCTCACTATTTCCATGAAAGAGGCATTAAATTCTCAATTAATTCCAGTACCACTTTCCTCTCCTCTTTCTTTCGATTGAATTTTTTTCATTCCTTCCTTCACCCCCTCATCACCCTCCTACTACCGTCTACTCAGTTACGGAACGTTGGTTCCCTCCCTAGAACATCCCGAGGGAAAAAAGATCAAGCCACAAGAATTTCTTCGTGCTTCTGACGTCTTTCTCGTACGGCCGATTGAGCCCCGTTTATCGCATTATGTTCAGTCATATCTGTCCTTGATGCTTTCTGATGGATCGGCTCGTAGAAGGGTAGTAGAAGGTAGCAACTGGGGCGGTGAGTAGTGGCAATCAAAAAGTCACCAGACCGAGGCGGCTCAATTCGTTCGCGTACTGCTAGCTGGTAGATGTTGCTTCAAGCAATACAAACGCCATATTTACATATAATTGTACATAGAATTACATGTCAGATACATATTTCAAGGTTTCTTAGGGTTGTCTTTTTCGATGGGTAGTCCACCCCTATTGTAATTCTATTACACCCCTGAGTATGAATGTGTTTCCTGTCTCGTCTCTTGTTGTGCGTGAGAGACACATGTTCTCTGGAACCACGCTCCATCCTTTTTTTCAAATCTTTTTTTTCTCTACCAGCCCACAATTGATCGGTAAAGTCGTACAGTCATTCCAGATCAGTTTCAGATACATAGAAACTTTTCTTAAGATTGCAATAGCCACAAAACGATGACTCCTTGAAACCGGACCACACAATATTCCAATACGTATTCGAACTTTTAGGAATTTCATTTAAACCAACCCATCTTTGTTGTAGTTATTTTATACAATAAAGTATATATTCCACACAGTGCCCCTACAATACAATTTTAATTACGAATCCGCTATCTTCGTAAGAGGACAAAGAAAAGAAAGGGTCGGATAAGCATATATCACGTGGTGCGTCTCACCGACTGGAAGTCGCAAACAAGCTAGCGGCAATTGATCCTATCGCAAAACTGGAGTGACCATCCGACCGGCAAGATGCCCGGATACATAGTAATGAAGTATTGTCGACAATAATCGAGCGATGGACTACGCCCGGATGGATACTCTTCTGAAGCTTTCGTAAAGGCCGATACACACAGGGGCGGCGCATACGAGGAATGATTTTTTCGAAAAATGGGGGAAGCTGTGAGATTGATAAAAAAATAGGAGGGTTGTTATGTATGGTTACGTATAGGCATGTGTGTAAGCTATAAGAGAGGCTGTACAATCGAGCATCTGTAGCTGAATTAATATTTACTGAGCAGGTCGCGCATAAAGGCTTACCCACATGTAAATCCAATCACGGTAACTCGGGGCTCTCGGCAGGACCGCCAATGTAACCAAACTAACGAAATCGAGTTAGCTTGCCGAGCGGCTCCTCGTCAAACCGAATCTACTCCGCAATTTCCACCCTCGCTGCGGCACCGCAACCGAACGACGTTTCGAAATTTAACGAAGGAAAGTGCGTTAAGCCTGTCGACGCTGTTATGTTATGTTCAAGAGGGCCCGCTTTGCCGTCGCTCCCTGTTGCTAGCGCCTTTCTAGTTCTGTTTCTATATGTGCTGGTTATTTGGTTAACCTCGTTTTGAGTGTCTTTCTTTGGCATTGATCATATTTATTTTTGTGGTACCTGCGCTTAATATTTATCGCTATGAATGGAAAAAAAAGATATTGTTTAATTTTATTGCTAACAATCTAATAGCCATGAGTAAAGTGGAGGAGCATTTCAAATTTGAATATTTTTTGACGCAGTGGTTGACTCATTTTCGTCATTATAGAAACGGTGTTTTTTTTATTTCTGAAAAACAGAGTATTTTTAATTTTTTCATCCGAAGATTAAAACCATCATAGAAAAAAGTTACAAAGTTACCTTAGAAACGGACATAAAAATGTATCCACATGCTTCCAAAATTACAGTTCAATTATAATTTTAATGAATTATACCTGTATTGATTCACGATCTAGGTATGATTGTAATTGTTCTTTCACTTCGAAATTCTGTAACAGCAAAACTGTAAAAATGGATGCAGATATAACATAACATATATAATAATAGCTAAATGGTAACTTAAGTAAATTTATAGCACATTATCAAAAGATTATAAAAACTGCCATGCCATGCAAGAAAATATAAAATATAATAGAACAGAGTGAAATTACAGGAAATTAACAAAGAATATTTATTATAGAATAATAAATCCTCAAAGATCAATGTTTTTCAAGATATATATACCATATAAATAATATCATTGCAGCGTTTGGATGACAGAATGAAACACACAACTCCCACTTTGTGCTTTACTATAAACAAGTGAACAGTCGGAAGTTACTTATAAATAGCTCTACATTTTAACTTCTTATTTTTCTGTTAATATTACGATAGCCGACAACAGAAATTAAAAATTCTTACAATGTAGTGTGTAACAGTGTTACAAACAGTGTAATGTTCTTACACTGAAATTGATTCCTATAGAAATTAGAATAGACGTAATCAAAAAATTGTCAATACATAATTATGACGGTCTTTAAACTTAAATTATCTTAAAATCGTCTACCTATTCCTGAAACAAAATGCCAGAATTTCATACGTGTAAATGGTATATCAAATCTTAATATTCCTATAGTGAAATCAATAATCAAGTCATTCATTAAATAATATGTATCCACAATAATCGCTCCTTAGCCACTCGGTTATTACCCAATATGATTACGTCATTAAAATTATTTTTACAACACACAATATCTCTAGATATATTTTCTTCCTTATAAAAAGTCGGCCATTTTCTGTCACAAATTTTTTTATTTTTTTTATTAAACAACAAATACTTATCATAACTCAGCGAAGGTTGAGCCATTTTATTTAAAACATCTGCAGCGAATCTCCATTTAAAACATTCAAGTATCCCCGAAAACTCAACAGTTTCATTTTTTTTTCTATTTGATCCCCATAACCTATACCCTTTCTGAACTTTTCAAGATGTCTGCAAACTCCTCCATCCCTTACAACCCCGTGTAGGAATCTGTCTATGGGGATGATTCGTACAGCACTCAAGGATTCGTGCCTTGCGAAGGGATGCCACCGCGATGAGGGGAGTTTAAACCAGTGTTTAACGTAGTTGGCGGCTAGTTAGCGACGGGGGTTGAGAGCGAGGGTTAGTCAAAGTGGTTCTCAGTGTTATGAGAAATGTAAAAGTAGAAAGAAAAAATGAATTGTGCAGATGTCAGTGAATTCGCATTAGTTAGATTTTTTTTTTAAATTTCAAAACTTCTATTAAATTGCAATAAAATTTGTGCAAAAGAATTATTTATAGATGCAAGATAAATTAAACGATGGAAAGATGAGCACGAATATGTTTTAAACTTTTATTACAAATTAAAGATACGATATCATATATGGGAATATGTTTTGATTTTTGGAACGCAGTGAATGATAGAACTCGGCAAAAATTGTATTGCGCATAACACGCTTGTGCTATTCATTTTGTAACAGGCTGAGAATCACTGACGCCCCTCGGCGACTTTGCCGCCTAATGAAATACCGGGGATTAACTAAACACACCTGACTAATTAAGCAGCGCTTAACTAGATCACCGTCACCAATACCCTAATCAACGCCTCGTTAGCATCATCCTATTTGCTTGAGCAAATAACGGAGAAGAATTTTAAATAATGTGCTGAATGATTTGATCATCCAAAGATTTCTATAAGCCCTATCATCTCCTTATCGCCTTACCCGTCTTACTCTTTGACATAAAGCAACGATATGTTTTTAACGACATATCATTCTTAATTTCTACAATATAAAAACTAGGATTATAAGGAATCCAGGAAAGTTTTCCAAAATGAAAAAGGGAAATGAAATACGACTCCCTGTCTGTGGCCGTGTGAAAAAAATACAGAGTCTATAAAAAATAAAAGTCCCACGAAGTCTGGCGCACGTCCCACCCTTACTTGAAGGGTGCCGACAAGAGGTTGGTCGAAGGTGAAAATGGGCTTTCGGGAGTCCCGAGTGCCCGTTTGATGGCCCATCAATGTAAACCAGTGTAAAGTCGACGGGTGGTAAAAGGAGAAGGGAGAAAAGTCTAGAGCGAGCGAGAAAAACATAAGGGACGAAAATATCAAGAGAAGACACCAGCACAGTACTTATAGGAGAGAAGCAGTCTGTACAAGAGGGAAAGAGATGTGCAGATATATAGACAGAGGATAAAAGGGCGCATAAAGAGTAGCAACCGCCCCATGTGACGTCCACAACCCCCCGTGGATTTTTATTCGGGTACGTTTCTACGGGGTTGGTGGAGCATATGCACCGTACCTCGATAGCTTTATGATCCTGGGCGATTAATCTTCCTTGCCGGTATTGGACGGTGCCCGTGGGGATCGCCAATATAACCTTTAACTCTGTATGAGAACAGTTTTCGCGACATTATTCCACGTATTAGCACATTTGTCGGCTTACATATCTACCATAGGATATTATCATACCCATGGTGATCTTTATTGGTGACGATGGATATTCCTATGGGTCAAGATATTAATATCGAGGTCCGATATCCAATATACGGCCTGTCTTAATAATCATCACATATTTAAGGCTGTACGGTACTGGCATATGGTATTAATGACAGTACATGTGTATATGTATGGGAATACAGTTCCTATTTAGGATGTTAACATATAAAATGCTATTGGGTATAACAGTTGTTTATTGATGATGTATGCAAATATTTTATAGGTAGGATACAATTTATTTGTATTTCGATGTCTCCGTATATACATATATATTTTTTATAACGCTATGGTTATAATCTATGAAAATAAGTAAATATGGATTACTCGTGTATGCTATGAAGTACCGTTTAAGAAATATGCTACTTAATATATAGAAACGAACATTTGGATATTGCATTAAGATAGCTATTGTAGAGGTTTATAAAAAGTACATATTTATTATGGAATATATAATTGGGATATTGCAAATCGCACACGGACAGTGTCAGCCGTAAGTACCGATTCGTCTCAATCCCGGTACATAAATTAAAGCTAATCAGTTATTGATCAGTAACTTACACATAATATTCTTATTCGGGAGAGTTTTATTTAGTTTCTTATTGCGATAAAGGCGTAATGCGGTGATGCGCGTAAGATAATATATGGTGCTTGTCACAGTGTAGAATGACACCATATGTTAGAAGAGGATCTAATAAATATAATTCAAAATATTTAAGCGGTTTAAATCTAAAGTCGAATAAATAACTGTAAAGCGAAGGCTCGTATTTCGCGGGCAGTTTGGCACGGGGATCAATTCGCATTACGCTTCTAGAAGAAAAAGATGCTGTATCCCATAGTAAGTAGGTATAGGTAGAAATAGAGGGCTGTTAAGGGGTCATGTCTTTTCTCCTAAATCCATCCCTCGTAGAAGACAGCGGAATTCAGTTCTTTGGGGTTGAACGGCGGTATAGGTGTGACGTCAGGCCATCCCCTGCCACTAACTTCAGCTCCATCTGTACGTCTCGGCAAGATTGGGGGAGGGGGGTAGATGCAACATATGAGGAATATAATGTAATATCACAACCTACCCTCACCCCTATGCGACTCACGGGCCTGGGATTTAATGAAAAATAGCCGAATTTGTTGTCTCTGCCGGTGGTGGCGGCGTCGGCAACTTCGGTGGCGTCGGTGGCCCAAAGTCACCCTCTCTCTTTCTCACGTTCTCTCTTTTTTCACGTTCTATCTTCGCCCACACGTTCTATACCTTTCTACCTACCTACGGTACTAGTACTACTACCGCCCCTACTCACAGGGGTGGATGAAGGTGGATACCTATGGACGACCTCGTACGTGCTCGCCGATTATTTCGACCTCCCTTAGTCCGTTATCTCACGTTGGGAAACCTTCCCATTTGTACGTTCACTCGTGGTAGGTGTCTCCCGTTCGAAACCAGACGTAGTAGACCCACCTACCATTTACTTTTCGTTGTCTTTTCATCTTCTTTTTTTAATTTAATTTCTTCAATTTCTTACGTCTTCTTTACAGCTTATCGTGACTCTTGAAATTTTTAACGCATACTCGTCCAGGAAATACGTCTGACAAGACAAACATTGATAGTGGGATTAAAGTGGCTTATCATGGCATGGCTACCATGTCCTTTTATAATATTGATATCTAGAATCATTTGATTTTTTCATACATTTCACGGAGTATCTTTGTTAATATGGTCTTCCAGTGTTGGATTGATAATAAACGTTATGTTAACTTATTTTGTTAATGTTTGATCTGATATATGGAATAGTGAGGCCATTTCGGTCAATGGTGAATTTTCTGGTAATTCTGGAAATGGATTATATCGATCCTTCCTTAGAATAAAAGGCTCAGATGGCAGGTGGTACAGTGAGAAGTGAGGCGCGGTCCGTTTCTGTTTTTCTATCTATCCAAGGAAAATAAATATCGGTGAGTTATGGCGCGCAGAAAAGCACGTAAAACACGGCTTATATATTTATCAAAATATTGTGATAGCCGCCCGCCGGTTTTGGCCTCAGGGCCTTAAGGGAGGATTTATCGAAGGGCTGCTTTGACCGACGGCACAACCCATGCCGATATAACGAACTGCCTGAACCTTAGGATTCCGTTCTTTCATTTCGCCTCCTTACCTTTCCTTACCTTCCCTTTTGCCAGCCTTTATTTTATCTCGCTTCAACTTATTCTCCTTCATCATTCATCCTCGGCACAGTCATCCGTAACTCAAAAATGTATAAGCGAACTGAAAATAGCGGTTAATTTGAAAAGGGAAAGAGAATCAAGACCCTTTCGCTTTTGCACCTTCCTGTCCAGAATTGATGACCACATCATGATCTGGAATAAATTCTTGAATAAAAGTGAAATCAAGGGAAACAGGAACAAAGACTCGTCAAGGTCCAGTCCGATGGGATTATCCCGTAGGAATGTACATAGAGAATTGTTGACCGAAAATGGGAAAGACCGAGGGTTGGTCGAATTCATGAATCTAATAGAAGGTACATACGAGTGGACACTATATATAAGGAATTGACTATACTGTATCGGTTAAGGGTTGCTGGTTGGCCAGTTGGCCAGTTGGATGATTTAGGTGGTTTAGGTGGTTAGTTGGTTGGCCGGTTCTCATCCCGGCGGACTTAGCAGATTAAGCGGCGCGGATAGCCGAGTTTGATCGAGTCTTCTAAGTCTTTCATTAAGGGAGTCCTGAGCGGACGAGGGTAGCAGGATTATTATTACGAAGGAAGGAACCCGCGTCTTGTTTGCCAAACGAGGGAGAAAAGAAAGCCAAAAGGGGTTCGTATTATATACGTATGGAAGAGTCGTAGCCTCTATGGGTTTTCTATGGTTGACGTCTGATTCATGTGGCTCTAGAATAAACTGAATTCTCTGTATATCAACCCGTAAGTAAGAAAGGTTTGTGAGGGTTTGAATGTTTCTTTAGTGAACTTATACATAGACGACACTGTACTATTGTTTTCCATAGCATCGATATTGATATTTTATGGTGTTTCTTTTATTTGTTTTAGGGGCCAATCGCGTTAGGTCACCGGCATCATTGGCGGTAGATATATTCGAACAGCACCAAGGTACTCATATCCTTCAGGTGAGTATTTGAAGCACTATTTTTCTTTTGGAGGGAAAAAAGTGTTCTTGCTTATATGAATTGCATCTGTCCAGTCTAAAAGGGTATTTGAGAATTCGCGGAGACTCGTTAGATAAATTTAATTTTGAACCACGAACATATCAGTGATTGATCAGTAAATGATAGTACTCAATACATCATTTTCATGAGAAGTACTGATCAGGGCTAACTAGTAACATAGGCACGTATAGCAAAACATAAAAATTTTATATAGTATAAGCCAATGTAAAAATTCGTTAAAAATGTATTTCAGTCGTTGGACGGTTTCGCGATGGCGGTCGCGGCTGATGGACGATTCCTGTACATTTCCGAGACCGTTTCCATCTACCTTGGTCTTTCCCAGGTGAGTTTCTATATGTCATCTAACTGAGTTGTGCCCACCGCCATGGGCAGGTTCACTTGTAGTATATAGTACCTACACATATCCCTTGGTAGATACCAAGAATCCGGAGATACAGAGAAAGACAGAAACAGAACGTGAGTAGTAGAGGTAGGAAAACGACGCAAAGTCGCATAAGACAGCAGTGCATGCTTGCTGAGGGTAGAACCTATAAGCGGACGAGTGGAAGGTGGAGTCTAGAAAGGTGAAGAAGGTGTAGGCGGCTAGGAAAAAGAAGGTGGAGAAGATAAAAGAGAAGGTAGAGAAGGAGGAGGAGGTCAAGGGAGGAAAAGAGAAGAAGGTTGCGCGAGCTGGCGGCCATACTGGCTGGTTGGCAACGGACACGACACAGCCTGGGAGGATGGTGATGATGGTGGTGCTACCGGCGATGGTGGTGCTGCTGGTGCTGGTAACGGTGATGGTGGTGTTGGTGCCACTGCTGCTGGTAGAGGAATACTATGACGAGGAGAAGGAGGAAGCAGAGGAGGATCAGGAAGAGGAGGAGGGCCTAGGTCGCATGCCGCTCACGTAGCCTCTGCACGGCGGCGTGTTCGCCATTCCTAATGCCCCGGGTGAAGGTGGTCGGGGAAGAGGATGGAGCTACCTCCTCTTCCACTGGCAATCAATAGGGTGTTTCGGAGATTCTGGAAACTGGCGGCGTCCTCGTTGCCACAAACATGGCTGCCGTACCTTCCCTGGTTACTACGACATGCCTTCCTATGGATTTGACTAAATCTCCTACGCGTTACTATCCTTTTTATAACTCGTTATCAGTTCTTTGACTATCCTCAATACCATTATCATACATTTTACTCGAAAGAATCCTTACTTGCACTTTTCCCTCAAAGTTTCGTTTACTCCCTGAGACAAAATAACATCGTACAAAGTTTATTGAATTACCAGAAATTTCGGATAAAAGATCAAATATTCTCAGAATTGGTAGCAAATAGGTACTTCAAAGTGACTAATGATCTATAAAGAGTAATAATATAAAATATTTAATATAAAGCAAAATTAGACAAAAAGACAGGTCGTGTCATCTAGAACGAAAGCGCAATCGGTTTCGTTCGATCGTCTGGTTACATCGCCATTGACCGGTAGGCTATCTATAATCGTCGATTACTCATCTGGAATTCTTGATATCGAGTCGACCGAAGACGCCGACGAAGTCTTCGTGGTCGTCGCCAGAGAAATAATTGCATATTCGATGCTCGCACTGGCTTATTGAGTAACGCCCTGCTTCCACGATGTCACGAGGTTCTACTCCTACTCTATTCCTTTCCACGTAAATATAGAGTCTCTATCATCGTCAACCTTCTGTTGCTAGAATATATACGTATCTCTATGTCGCTGTATAGTTTAAGCATAAGCATAAACCATAGAACGACTGTAGCACTATGGAATGAGTGCTCGATGACCGAGCAAGCGGACGTTATAGGCTTGCACGCGTCACCATAGAAAAGCGTCCGTAGAATAAATTAAAGAAGAGTCGAAGTACGTGGTCGAGAAACGTACGTACATACCTAGTCCGTTAACCGACGCACGGCCCCTTTTTGGCTTCTTTAAAAGTAATCTCAGGTGCTCGACACCTTCGTCGAATTGGAAAATATGGGGGTCACGAATTTCTCGAACTCGAATATTTGCATATACGTTTTTAGTCAATATAATATATAATAGATGTGATTACAACTATATGAGATAGTTCAATGATATACAGTCTAAATGGGATACGATAAACTTGATGGATCTGAAGTCTTAGATACACGTAGTTTATGGTACTACTGAGATTTACGAAGTTTTCTATGATTGTTTCAGGTGGAGATGACTGGTTCCAGTGTTTTCGATTACGTGCATCAACAAGATCATGCCGAAGTCGCTGAGCAACTGGGTTTGGGCCTTACTTCCTCTACCGGATCCTCCGGGCCTCATTCTTCTAGTTCAGGACTTGCCTCCCCGAGCAGTGCGGCCTCGGAAGAACATGGATCCTCCTCTACGGCTAACCCAGATGGTAAGCCCGATTCGTTTTATACTTCATTAATCGCTGAATTATAAATCATTAATAATATTATAACGATATACTCATTAAATTATTCGTTCTAAGTGTTACCGCATAATTGTCCTCTGGATATGATACTATACGTATAGCACCACCTGGCATCATCTTCATGCACAGCATTTCTTCGAAAAAATGAATGATCCAGTCAAATTTTTATACGCGCATCTCAGATAGTCCATGAGACTAAAAGAGGAGTATTTGCGCGAAACCATCGATAAGAGTAAGAAAAGAAAAGAAGGAAGCGATCCCAAATAATATTCTAGCGTATCCATCCTCTACCATGAATACCAAGACCAGAACTCACATGAATGGTATGCCAGGACGCCTAACCTGGAATCCGTGACCAGGCCAAGTCTAGAGGGTAAGGAAGAAGGTCGTAGGTATGATCACGTGAGGAGGTTGGTGGACGTGCGTCGGCCGACGCCGACACCGACGTCGGCCGACGGACGTGCCACGTGGCCTGGAACGCTCGTGACGGGGTTGGAAAGAGGGTTAGCTCTCTCGCGCCTTACTACTACCGGTCGCCATTCCGGTTCACGGCCGTCCTACCCTGGCCCGGTCCGACCCGGCCTCACCGAGTTCTGGTGTTGAACGGGGGTCGCATACGTATGCAGCAGCCGCGATTTCCCGATTGTTATTCCGCGACCATCAGCAGCACAACCACAACTTGCAGTAGGACCACCTAGCACGTACCCCATGATGCTACGTAACTTGCCCCCTACGATTTGATATACCCTGACTACATCCCTTATGATACATACAACCATATTCGAATGTATACATTATCATTAGACATAGGACATTGCGTATTTAACGATAAAATTTATATTTATTATCCTGAGAACGAATGTAATTATTTATAATCTTCCCTATTCCTATAATTTCAGTCTCCTCGGTGATGTCACTGACTTCTAGTGGACTTTACAAAGGATTTGATAGGGCGTTTTGCGTCAGGATGAAATCCACTCTTACCAAGAGGGGATGTCACTTCAAGTCCTCTGGCTATCGTGTAAGTTTTTATAAATCTATCTTTTTTCTCAGAATCTAAATTGTTTGCTCATGATAAGCAGTCTCATTAGAGAGTCTGCGGTTACAGTAGACGACTTTTATATCAATATCATCGTTTAGGTCGTTCTACTTCTGTGTCGTCTAAGACCGCAGTACACCTTCAGTCACACAAGAAAATCCGCACCGCCTCTCATGGGAATGGTGGGCTTAGCCATAGCACTTCCACCACCAAGTGTGCACGAGATACGATTAGAAACGGATATGTTCGTCACACGTATAAACTTCGACTTCCGGATAGCCCATTGTGAACCAAAGTGAGTAACAGCCATCGTAAAAAAGATACACGTAATTGAGTTTCAATAACTGACCCAGGATTAACGAATGCATATAAGCATTAATACTCTTCATCAAAACGAGTGCTGTCCTACGTAAATAGTGATTAATTGAAAATTCACAGGGTGTCTGATTTACTCGACTATACGGCAGACGAATTAACAGGGAAGAATCTGTACGCTCTGTGTCACGGTGAAGATGCAAATCGGCTTCGTAAATCGCACGTGGACTGTAAGTACAAATCCTTATTGAGGAACAACGTGTAAAAATATTTCCCCTCCATCGGTCTCACATATCAACCCATATCACCCTCGTATGCCTAAGCGATAATACCACCTCGTAAATTCTCAAATATTTGATATTGTAAACGTTTTTGCTCGTAAACTCCGTATGGCGGGTCATTTCTTTTTTCTTCTCTCTGGGTCCCATTCGAATACTCGCGCGCTCCAACCTATTCCCTCTTCATTTTACTGACTACCTTTCTCCCTCTTTCCCTTTCACTCTCTCCTCTCCCCTTGTGTCCTGTTCTCCTAGCAGGCTTCTCTGTGCACGTGAGTAGCGCACTCACTGACTCAGTTACGCCGCGGATACAAGCAGGATTAGGCATTTGGTATGCAGAGAGCACGTTACGCCGGATGCGGCATCTCCAGCGAGTTGTTACCTCCCGCTCCGAGTTTCCTTTGGCCTGAGACCCTCCAGGATCCTCCATCCCCTTCTGAAGTCACCCCAGCCGTCATCGCTCACCCGTCTACCTATATCTTACCAAATATATAGAGATCATTTTACCTTTGCAAATTTTCTTCCTGACTTCTGAAAAACTTTACGGACTTCTCTTTATATTCGGATAGTCACTCGATACTTAGGTACATAACTTCTTGTATGGATCATTTTATGGTTCTTATCATCCTCGTAGCATGTCAAAAGAACACAAAAAGAGAAACGCATCAGTTAGGGCTTCTAGAATAAAATTTTGAAAACTCTACATGGTATCGTGTAATATTTGTGTATTATCTACCATGCAGTGAGGGTCTAAAGGTCAGAGGATGACTGGCTTAGCTTTTAGATTTTAGATTCTCCGTGCACACTTTTGATTTCGATCAAGATGGATCCTTATCTATTTCCAGTGATCCACAAGGGTCAGGTACTCACGCATTACTACAGAATGATGAATAAAAGCGGTGGCTACACCTGGTTGCAGACATGCGCGACCGTCGTCTGCAACTCGAAAAACGCCGAGGAGCAGAATATTATTTGTGTGAATTATGTGATCAGGTGAGTTTATCAAGCTAAAGAAATAAATGGCGAATAAAGGATCTCACGTGTTTTGCTACGAACGCTGATCGTGCCCACTCATCCATTATGGAAAAGTATCCTTCTATATGGTTATGCTGGATTAATTAAGGAATCTTAACCAGTTGTTACTGCACTTGGTTGTTAATCTGGCAGTTTAATCTTTTTGTCATTCTCAATGGTATATTGAGTGGAACTCTTACCAGTATCCTTTAATGGATCATTGAAGTTGCTTTTAAGAGTGTAATTATATACTGTATATACAAGTGTAATATGTATACTGTTTTGTTACTGACTTAATTTACAACGAGAAAACTCCCATAGGAGGACACTGGTTTTGTTCACACTTTACCAACATGCAGTAAGAGAGAATGTAGACGTACCGTGATTATTTTAACCCCTTCGCAGAGTAACAAAAATCAACTTTCTGTGCCACCAGTGTGCCATGATTTTATTATTTAGGTTTTCGGAGTTTCTCAATTCAAAATTCAAAATGACAGATCTAATATGGTGGATCAAGAGCGGTATTATACAGGGTGCTTCTTAAGCCCCGGACAGGAGACATATCGTTAGATCCGGCGTGTAAAAATAAAAATATTGGCGTCAACAATATTCAAAATTTGTAATTAGTTTATTAATTATTACGGATTAAAGTAAGCCAATCATAAGCGCGTGAGAATTGGTAACTCTTCCTCAGTCTCCTCCCATTAGGGACAGCCAATCATTTATTTCCCCACAAAAAACATTTTGCATTATTCTTTTGTTTATTTCCGTTACTCTTTTGTTTATTTACATTACTATATACGCTTACGTATCCACCGGTCACTGTTCTTGTGGGGAATTAAATGATTGGCTGTCCCCAATGGGAGAAGACTGAGGAAGAGTTACCAGTTCTCACGCGCTTATGATTGGCTTACTTTAATCCGTTATAATTAACAAATTAATTAAAAATTTTGAATATTGTTGACGCCAATATTTTTATTTTTTCACGCCGGATCTAAAGGTATGTGTCCTGTCCGGGGCTTAAGAAACACCCTGTATATACTTTTCTATATTAACATTCTTAAAATTTTTAAGAACGCCATCCGCCGTTTAAAAATTTCAAATGTGTATATGAAATTCGGATTCAGCGACTCCAAAAACCTTAGAATACCCACTTTTATAAAAATCACAATAGTTTAACTCTCTATTTTTTAGTTGCGTGTGTACTCGCATCCGCACTGAAGGGGTTAAAGACAATTTTTTTTTTAATTACATCGTCAGATGCCTGACTCAACATTTTATAACACTTAATGCTGATGCAATAGTTATACATATATTCAATCGATAATATATCTATGTTCAAGTCACAGAATCAGGTTCACGTTCAAGAGATTCATTTACGTTCTCACCGACTATAATGATGCGCTTTAAAACTTTAACGAACTTATAGCAAACCTAGTTTAATACTTAAGTGTCCATTTTCAACTGATTTTCATTATTTTGTATTATAGTATAATTATTTTGGATTAAAATCAAAAGTTCACTATTTCTAATTAATATTTTAACAATATCAATCTATCAGAAGGTCACTTTTCTTTCGGTCAATTACATACATATACTGTAATAGTTTCTATTGCTTTGACAGTGGCAGAGAATACGAGAATCTGATAATGGACTGTTGTCAATTGGAAGATGGTGTTACTGGTGTCAAAAGAGAAGACGCTACTGGTAATGATCCAGAGAATGGATCGCCCGATGCGGACCGAGGAGGTAAATATTGTTTCCTATAGAAAGAAGAAAAAAAAAGATGACGGTGGAAAAAGCGAACGCAAAGCAAAATATTAATTAACATCCAAAAACATAGAAGAGTCACTTAAAAAATTCCGTTCAAGCAAAATTTCATGGTTTCACCGTAATCGACGTACCTGTTTTAGAACTAATCGTGGATAAACATTCTTCATGGGGACGCAGTATCTCGTGGTATTTGTTCCAAAGATCTAAAAGTAGTGACGTATACTCATCATTTCTTTGTATGTAATTATCTTGGATAGTAAGATACATGGCGTGTAAGGTGTACCGTCTTCATGACAATCTTACTAAATATATTAGTCGGTGCGGTTAAAGAGCGTTTCGAAAGAGCGTCGGACTCGGTGGCCGTACGAGGATTCATGTCGTAAATACTAATTATACAAATAAGGATGCTGTATGTACCAACCGCTCGCCTCTTACCAACCCTTCCACATACTCGTTCCCGTAACTGTGCGCAGACTAATCCGTATTTCTGCCTGTAAAAGCGTGGCGACCGTCGTTTCGGGCACCAGAGCGGCATTCCCGCTTGGACACGCTCTCCAACCGTTTCACGAGTAGAGCGGATCGGAGAGTGTTCTCGAGATAGAGTATCGAGTAGATGTAACCAGAAGAAACGAGGAGTAGGGATGATCAGTGATGAGATAGAAAAGTGTGAAAGGAGTTGAGGGTTACTGACTCTGGACAGAAAATACCTGGAAGAGTTAATAACTTTTCTTTAATAGTACTGTTACACTTTTAATTACAGAAGGTCGTAGCAGCGGCGGTCCAACGAATCAGCATCCTGAGAGACCACATCGTTCACCTCCAGAGGATCGTGAAGACACGCCTGGGTCAGAGGGCGAGCCGCGCGGTGGTAGACATCATGAAAATGTAGCCCAATTGCAGCAAGAACCACAATCTGCAAATGTGACGAACGTTAATAGTCTAGCGACCAAGTTGCGTGGACATAAGCGAAAATTTGTCCAGGAAGAGGAGAATAGTTCTGGTGAGGAAGAGGAGGAGGAGGAGGACGATACTCCGCACACAAAGAACGCTGGTGCAAGAGGACATGTTCTGAGTCCCGCATCCTCTAGCCACTCCGTACCATCTGCCGAAGTCAACTTAGGCACGTCGTCAAGTCCAAAAGCTCGCAGAACTGAAACCCAACCTGGTGAAGCACAGGAGTCCGCTGTTCCGGGTACCGGTGCTTCTGTCAAGGACTTAGAACAAGCAATGTCTAAGCATCTACCTGGTGCACAATTAGGCAAGCCGGATTCACCAGCGCTGCACCAACCCACAGACTTCAGTACGGACGCACTATTGAAACAACAGCAGCAACGGAGTACGATACAGTGGATAGGGGCGCATCATCACCTGGGACATTTAAATCCTCAGCAGAGTGCTGGAAGTCCGACAGCGGCACCCCTACCAGCCTCAGCGCTACTGCGCCAATTGTATGCAGCTAATCGCGAAAGCGTCATACGCGCTAATGTACACGGTATAGCTTCTGCCGGTACTCGGACACCTTCGTCCGGTTCCGGCACGACTTATTATGGTGGCGGTGGAGATGCTGCTCAAGCAGGACCTTTACCGACTCCACCAGGCTCCGAAGGTTCTTCTACCTATGGCGAGCACCAGTTTGTTCTATCAGGTCACGCGGGGCCAACTAAAGTGGTTACAAGCAGCGCAGCGGATGCGTTCACCAGTTTAGTCTCATCTTATTCGGCAGCTACGGGTGCATATGGTGTAGATTATCATTCCGCCATGACACCACCAAGTTCAGTATCACCGCGCGACAAACAACAGCAACAGCAGCAACTTCATTCCGCTAGTGTCGTCAGTTCATATGAGAGTTCAGTCTATGGGGAACCTGTATTGAGACACCAGTACGAACCGGCTCAGCCGTTGCCGTTGAAGCCCCAGGTGTATCCAGCTGCAGTGCATCCTAGTGCACTCGATGCTGCCGCAGCGTACGCCTCGGCCGGTCTGGAACAGCCACAGTTCTACCATCATCCGGCAACTGGAGCTGGTTTTCATCTGTACCATCCTACCAATAAGGCCGCGACCAATGGTTGGTACAGCTCGGCCTCCTAGTGGCACGGCCTCAGGACTGCCCGGATGCGGTGTACTTAAATCTTAAGCCACTGGAAACGAACCCAAAGTCCCACACTAAGTGCATATCAAATTGGTCGTGTGACAACTGATAGCATGTCATACGGCCATATTCGAGATTCGGCCCTTCTCAGCCTTCGTGCGTTTTCGTTAAACCTGCTCGTGTCATTAATTAATGTCGTGTTATCCAGGATAATCGCGTCAATTTTGCAAGACGGCAAAAGCTATAGAGAAATAAGTCAAGGAGAAAGGAGCCGGATTCGGAATCTTTCGAGTACCTTGTATAAGAATCGCGATTAGCAATTTTGCAAGGAACAATTATACAAAGAAATAATCTTTCTTCTTTTTTAAAATCTTTTATACGTTTAAGATCGCATAGTTTCAAGGAGAGCCATAATTTATTGATTCGACGTTGTGTCGCGAGCCCGTGAGTTTCCCTTGGTTTCTAACGCGTTCCATTATTTACCCCAACTTTATCTCCTTTGTTATATACATATGTATATTATTCGTTCATCCATCAATTTATTGACCTCGTGTCTTATCTCTGACTTTCCACTTTTAAAAGTGAGATAGGAATGAGAAAATAGGCCAGGAGCGAGTCCCAAAGTCCATGGTGGAATTAATGGGGGCTCGCTACGTCGAATCTAGATATATTTATTCCTTTCTTAGTTATTTATGTTATTGGATTCGATAGATCCAAATTTGTTTTCACTTGTATCTCTAAAGATTCTCAGTTTTTCTTAGCATGCACTCCATTCCATGATCCAGAGCCTGTCCTCCCTTCTTCAGACAGCTTGAGGCACACGTTCGAGTATCATTAATTATTTAAATAATTAATATCTCGTTGCAAAAATTGGATACCATCCTCGTTTCACTTTTATGACAAGATTGCATGGCAAAATTTCACAATCTGACCTTGTTTCTCTGTCTCTTCTTTCGAACTATACCTATGTATACATACGATACAATATATATACGACGTTATGTACATACTCGTGTAGGTATACTTATACATAAAGAGAAGCGCACCTAAGTAATGTTAAAAATATTGATAGTGTGTTTCTGTGCGCATATGAACAATGTGTCCCATGTATCAAGAGCGAGAGGATGTCTTGTATAACGTGTGCAAGATAAAGAAAGGCTGTACGTATAATGAAAGAAAATGAATAAATGAACGGTAGAATGTTAACAAGATCGTACCAATTAGTATGAATGAATTGAACAATATATATATATATATAAGATGTTCGACGCTAGACGCTTGTACAAAATACACGAATGGAGACCATTAGAGAACGTGGAGAACGAACAGTCTCGTAAACCTATAACGAACCAAGTATAACAAAATAATTATGCAAGCTATTGATATTTAGAAGAAAAGTGTTATAGTTCTCTTCACCGAATGCAACGGCGAATCAATTCGAATGATTTACATCATTTGAACGATTGGTGTAGTTAAAATGATCCGTAGGAGTGCGACTGCTCGGTTCGTCTTCACTAATTTGTATATGTATATATATAAATATATTAGAGGGAAGATACCAAAAGAAAATTTTAATGGTATTACGCGTACGAGGATTCTGACCTAAGAACCGCGACGAGGACTAATCTCGACTAAATATAAAAATAACACATGACAGGATATGCACATGCATATTTATGTATATCGTAATATATAGAACATATACGCATACATGAGATATAGTTGCAACGACTTAATCTAAGCTCCAGTGCAATAATAATTTTTCCGCGGTTTGCAATTATTGAACGGCAATACGTGACGGCTGTAGAATTTTTTGTTCTTATTTAATACAGAGAATCATTATAAAAAAATATTTGTCGAACATACATTGAGACATAAAGGAGCTGAGGAAATGGCATGAAATATCAATAATTTACAGTCTTTGCAATGAGTGGTTCAACGTGTGAAAATGGCGCATCGTCGAAAAGGAGATATTCCAGAGTTTTTTAATTTGAAAAAATGTATTTTTTGAACGGCAGTAATAAAATTAGATTTTCCCCCCAAAAAAATGTTGCTGACGTCCCTTTTGCTGAGCTTTATTTTCATTTCGAAAAATTTATCCGTTACAGCTCTATACGCGTTATAATAGGTAAATGTTTGTCGTTACTGTGCTACATTGGAACAGATGTATAGAGATAAATAAATATATTTTATATGTGTGTATATACAGGGTGTTCGTTATGAAACGCACTGTAGTAACACTGTTGCATTCCTTGTCAATTTCTAAAGAATACGTGTATTTTCATTTTTTATTTCATATATCAAAATTTCGGTATAATCAAGGTTGAAGTTGCAGTAGCGCGACCGATCAGAACGCGTTTAAACGGAGCGTAAATGACGTCGCCAGTCAGCCCACGAGGCCTGCTTACACTAGGCCAATAATACTAAGAGTATCGTCTCTTGTATCTTACTCAATTACATGCAGATAAACAGGAACACTACGACGATACTCTTAGTGTTATTGGCCTAGTGTAAGCAGGTCTTGCGGGCTGACCCGCGACGTCATCTACGCTCCGTTTAAACGCGCTCTGATTGGTCGCATTACTGCAACTTCAACCTTGATTATCTCGAAATTTTGATATACGAAATAAAAAATGAAAATACAGATATTCCTTAGAACTTGACAACGAATGCAACGATGTTATTACAGTGCGTTTCATAACGAACACCCTGTATATTTATAATCATTTACCGTGCACCAGTAATTAGTTACGTCAGCAATATGGTCTTTTAAAATGCGCTGTGTGATACGATAACAGTGTTTGGGAGAAAAAAATATGAAAAAATGAGAGTAAAAAGTGAATTAAATGTACGTATTATGTTATTATTATTATTATTGCTATTATTATAACATTATTTTATTATTATTATTATTATTATTATTATTATTAGAGTGAGCAAATTGCAAGAGAAAAAGAGAGAATTATTAAGAGTAAGCCGCAGTAAGAGTGAATGAATGAATGAGTAATTGACTGAACAATGAATAAATGAGTAACAGAGTGAGAAAAATAGATTGTGAATTTGATGGCTTTTCACCGCCTTACGTTTTTGTACTTTAAGGCAAATTGAACTGCGTTACACGCGATCCAAATGTCAACACTTATCTGTACAGTTTTAATATGCCGATGTTAATTATAAATATTATACAGTGCCGTCAGAATAAAGCCACCCAGTGCAATAGACACACCGTAGCATTCGACTGCGTTCGGATATATGTTAATGTATAAGGCAGAGATAGAAAGAGAGAGAGGGAGAGAGAGAGGGGGGGAGCGAGAGAACATTGCCAGTCCTTTCCTGTTTGCATTATTGTTAATTCAGTTGTTTCTGCTATTACATTTCACTTCATTTTGTGAACTCTCGTTCTCTGATGTTTCGCATGCCGCTAGTTGTGAAATAGCGATTTTTTTTTATTGGAAAAGAAACGCAAAATCACTGAGAAAAGAGAACCTGATGTAACTATATTATTTTTATTATTGTTACTTTCGCGAAATCCTCTTTAACCATGGACACGTTGTTTCTCATTGTTATTGCGTCAAATAGCGGTACACAATCAGTCTCCATCTATACATAATAATTTCTTTGTCAATTTGTATGAGGTACCAGATGATTATACTTACCTAGCTCTCTCTGTACTGGTACTTTGGGATATACAGCCTTTCTTATTTGTTTTATATAATGCATAAATGAAATTGACTCAATACATGGTTTTCATATAATTCTTCACTCATAATTATACAACCTGGTACACACATATCCTCGTGACTATTTTTCGGCGATTCCGTATTCAACTAAATAAAATACTCTAGAAATTCGAAATCGAGATTAGCCCTATAGTATAAACTTGAAGACTTTTTTCAACATTGACTATATTTCCATCGGTGTCAAGTTGCAAAATGAAATACGTGTGTTGTATATTTATATATCAGTAAACTATACGAATACGTTCAAAGTATTTCAAGGGTCGCTGTTATTTTAACGAATCCCTAAAAGCACGATTGCCATTTGCCCAAAACGTTGCTCGTCCGAATCATTATTCGGCTAATTCCATAATCTGCCGCTTGGACGAATGGAATGTGTTCCTTAGTAGATGAACGTTATGTTTGGAATATTGAATATTCGGGCGAATAACGTTTCGGATATAAAATGATTCGAACATATCCACTTCGACAAAAAAAATGACAGCGACCAGCGAATAAGAAACTTATCCAATGGGGAACTGGACTGTGATAGGAATTCAAAAACTGTCTAACAAGGAAACCCCCCCAAACCCGACCCCACCGATTTCAATAATTTTTTGATATGTTGTAGTACTCGACAAAATAAGAGACACGTATTTTTTTTCTGTGCTGACATCCACTTTAAAGGGGAGAAACAGACCCCTGAAATTCACCCCCGAAAATCGTTTTTTTTATCATATCTCGACTTCTAATCAATATTTTTTAATAAAACCAAGTGGAAAATATTTTTCATAAGAAGTCGAAGATATGAGGTGTGTTTATGACCCAATTCTTTATTTTTTTGAGCCCATACCCCGGTTTTTATGCAGAAAAAAGCATAAAAAATATAGTTTTTTCAAAATATAAAATAAGGGTTGCAACCCCTTGG